TTTTAAATTTGATTTTTTAAAGACTTAAAAAAAAAAAAAAAAAAAAATTAACCTTGTTTAAGCCCCTTTATATTTTTTTGGGTTATATTTTTGAAAAATGCGTGGAAAAAATAATAATAAAAACTTGATTTATTCTGTAAAATTATTTTATTAAAAAATTATATGGTTGAAAATAAATTTTAAAAAAATAAAATTCATGAACATGTCAAGATTGAGTCCTATTATTGAAGCCCCGTTTGGCCCCCATTTTGTGAAAATGAAAATGGGTGGAATAATATTTTTTTTTTGAAAAATGAGTGACTGAAAAAGAAGAATTTTTTTTTCGATTTACGCATAATATTATTTTATAAAAGATTGTGTTGTTGAAAATAGGAGACGGAAAAATAAAATATATTGAAATAGAAATTAATGGGGGCCAAACGAGGACTTAAGTTAAAGTAGGCAATTAATTTTAACCACATATTTTATGGGATCCACAATTTCTAAATTATATGTTTCATCAACTTTTATTAAAATTTACTAAAAATTTAATTTTTATTCTCCATCAAGCAAGAGTTAAATCTAAATTTCCAGTTATAATTCTTATAGTTGACTTTCTTAATTACATGAATATACGGTAGGATTGGATGCTTCAAAAATGAGAGAAAAAAAATAAACAGATTATAGGATTGAATCTTATCTATTTGTTGAACTATCCTACAATGAAAAAGACAAATTCTGCAAATTGGAGATAGATTCACTATCCAAAAATGGTTTCAACGATGGATTTTTCCGTTGCTTAAGCTCAAAATTTTATTGGTTAGTTTGTTATCGACGCTACAACCGGTGGCCGTAGCTCAAGCTACCTCCATATAAATTTGCTTTCATTTTCTGTATGTTACAAATAGAGGTGTAAATTTGGCTTGTCATTTTGAGCGGCTCGTGGCCGACTTGGAAAAAACTCAAGTCAGCTCAGCTCGTGGTTCTAGTAAAGTCCCTATTTTTGGGTGTTGGCTTGAGCCTGAACCACGCGGACCATTTTCGGTATGTGACCAGCCGAGCCTAAAAATATATATATATAAATTAAAAAGTTAGGGCAGACAGTGCTATTGCTAACTGTTATTTAAAAAATCTGTTATTAAAAGAGAAATCGTGAGAAGACTCAACTCAGTTAGTTAAGTCTGGAGCCGAAAATTCGAATCGAGCCTAAATTTATTGCTTGAGCAAAAGCTCGGCTCGAAAAAAAAAAGCTCGAACTATTTACTTAAGTAGACTCGAGCCTCAAGTTTCAACTCATGAGCCGCCTCGTTGATAATCGTAAATTATATGTTACTTTTCTTGTTATTAGTATAATTGATTTTTTAGCTTCCTAACATACTCTTATTTAATGTGCATTGTTATCGACAAATATAAATTATTTTATATTTAAACTATTATTTAGCCCTTGTTTGAGCCCATTTTTTTAATCAAAATACATTTTTTAACATTGATTTGACATCATTTCAATAATACATTTTTTAATAAAATAATATCACACGCAAACATAGGGCTGGGCAAATCTCCTGAACCGAACGGACCGAACCGAACCGAACCGAACCCGAACCCGAACCGAATCGAACCGAACCCGACGGTTCTTGTTAAATTAAATACCCGAACGGGTATCTGAATTGAGAACTGACGGGTACGGTTCGGTTCTCGGCTCTAGACCAAGAACCGAAAAACCAAATAAGAACCGAATTTTTCTAATTTTTTTTTATATTGAATAAATCAAATTATTTTAATTTTAATTTTTTCTAAACAAATTAACAATTTCTAAATTCAAATTTTTGGCCCAATAATTTGTTTCATTTCTAATTTTTTGATTTTTAGCCCAATTACTCATTTTATTGTCTCATTTCTTAGCGCCAACAAGATCCAACCCACTAAATAACCCTAAACACCTACACTAAAATGCATAACGCTATCTCGACTCTCGCAGCCTCGTTGACATTCCAAAACCTATACAATCGTCGACCAACGCTGTGACCTCCGATCGAAGTTGTGACCTCCGCCAACCGAAATTTTGACCATAGTGATCATTTGAACAAGATAGTCTACTAGTCTCTGACATTTCAAAACCATTGAACGTGTCATTAGTTGTTGATATGCTCAATCTATTTACCTGATATGGTCCATCTATTTACCTTGTCATCATATTCTCGATGACTCCCCAACTCAGTCTTCAAAAATATATTCGTCGGGTATGATGAAAAACATCCCGAGGATATGGAAAATATCCCCGACTTCTCTCCTAATCATACCATGAGGTCGGGAAGTGGAGTCCTCGGTATTCATGTCCTCATGCTTTTTACCTCAACGATACCACATCCTCCTACGAACAATGACGTGTAACACTTGATACCCCACAAGACTTCTAGATGCAAGAGGAGTTTATTGTTGTTAGATTTGCACTGTCCCACACTTGTTATGCATGTCAAACATCCACCTCCGATAGGACTCTATGGGATAAAGATTCCCCAATTGTTCAAACCTAATAGGATTCAACCACCTAACACTATAAATACATGGTTTCACCTCATCATTCAGGTACTCTTTTTATGCAATTTTCAGTCCGTAGCCTCACGCACATATTCTAACTTAAGCATCGGAGGGGCGACGATGACACACCTCGACGCCTTTGTTTCAGGTACCGAAAGAATATGTTCGTGCTCGCCACCAGTCGTCCAGCTTGAAATTGCTCAGGTACGATTTTTGGTAGCATCATTGGCGCCGTATGTGGGAAGCGCTACCAAAAGCCATGGTAAACACACGTTCAGGTCTTCCACCAGCAAGCTCATCCGCTCCAAACCAACCCCTTCCTGAGGATGTCCCTGTTCTTCAAGAGGAATCATCAGAAGTGCCAGAGCCCCAGCCGGCAGTCGTCACTGCTGGAGCCTTTGAAGAGCTCAGACAACAGGTCGCCACACTGACTCAGCTGCTAAGTCAAAGAAATTCGCATCTGTCATCCACACCAGCACCCCAGGGGGGTTTTATGGTTGATGCTCAAGCTCGAGCTCAAAGACATGTCCCTGACAATGGCGAAGCAGGGGCCTCGGATATACCACATGTGACCTCGGCCTCGAGATCAGTGACCATGGAGTCCGGGGAACTCGCTAGGATTATTCAAGAAGGAATTACGGCGGGCCTACTTCAGGGCAACAAAGGGTCATCAAGATTCAGTCCCAACACTCCCTTTACTCCCGAAATATTGACATTCCCCTTGCCAGACAAATTTAAGTATCCTAGGATCAAAGAATATGACGGGACCACCGATCAAATCAATCATCTTAACGTATACACGGACGTCATGAATCTATAGGTCGCACCGGATCAGGTGATGTGCAAGGCCTTCCCACAAACTTTGACGAATGCTGCTAGGGATTGGTTCTCGACTTTAGAGCCCAACTCAATAGCCTCATTCTCGGATTTAGCGGACAAGTTCTCCACCTTCTTCGTAAGCAGTAAACGCATCAGGAAAATGGCAGCCTCCCTCATGCAACTTCGACAGGGGCAAAATGAGACCCTACGCGAGTTCATGACCAGGTTTAACAAGGAAAGGCTACAAATTCCCGACCTTCATATAACGGCAGCGGTTTCTGCCCTCACATATGCCATAAAGTGTGAGGCTTTCAAAATGTCGCTATCCAAAACTCCGCCGAGGACAGTGACCAATCTTCTTACCCGAGGAGAGAAGTACATAAATATGGAGGAAACAATGAACCCGAGGAAGGTTGGACCATCCCACGACAGGGTCGAGCATAAACGACAGCATGACCCGAGCCCCCGTCAAGAACCACCTCGGAGTAAACAGAGACAGGAGGCTCCCCTGACGTCATTCACGTGTTTAAATACATCGAAAACAAACATTTCGATGGAGATCAAGGATATGAAGGAGCTCAAATGGCTTGCGAGAATGAGGTCACCCCCCCAGTCCAGGGACATGAGCAAATACGGTGAGTTCCATCGGGATCACGGGCATACCACTGAAAACTGTAAAGCCCTGCAACGGGAGATTGAAGCCCTTATTAAAAGGGGACTTCTGGGTTCCTACGTTGGTAATGACAAACACCCGAAGAATGATGGTGGTAGGGAAAGAGCTTATGAAGCAAAAAGGGATGGTCAACCTACTACTGAAATCATCAACATCATTGTCGGGAGTATTGCATCAGGAGGAGATTCGAACACTGGGAGGAAGCAGTATGCCCGGCAATACATGACAACCCCGAAAGCACATCATGGTGACCTCGAGGACATAACATTTGGTATGAAGGATCTTGAGGGCGTATCTTTTCCTCATGATGACGCCCTAGTCATCTCTGCAATAGTAGCAAACTTTGAGGTAAAGAGGATCTTAATCGACAACGGGAGTGCCGCTAATATACTGTCACATGAAGCCTTCACAAAAATAGGAATCTCTCCCCGAACAACTGAATATAGTGAAAACCCCCCTTCAAGGATTCGGGGGGGGGGGGGACGGTATTATTGTTCCGGAGGGAGTGGTCAAGCTGCCACTTACCTTAGGCTCGGGTAAAGAACAGATAACGGTGATTACATCTTTTCAGATTGTCCGGTCTTCCATAGCATACAACGCCATCCTGGGTAGACCATTGCTTAATAAGGTAAAAGCTATTGTGTCCACCTTCCACCTCGCCATGAAGTTCCCCACCAGTCATGGCGTCGGGGTAGTACGCGGAAACCAAGCTGCTGCCAGACAATGCTATGTTACTTGTGTTCGGGAAATAAAGACGGACGTCATGCAAATCTCAGAAAAGGAGGAAGAGCTCGAGCATAGGGGGAGACTCGCTCCAGTGGAGGAGTAGCTGGAGATAGAGCTCGAGCAAGGGAAGAAAGTAACGGTTGGTCGAGATCTGAATACGGCCCTTATGACCGAACTTATTGACTGCTTATCCCTCAACATTGATGTGTTCGCATGGAAGGTGGAAGATATGTCTGGCATCGACCCCGAGGTTGTAGTACACAGGCTCAACACTAAGCCCGGGACTCATCCAGTTAAGCAAAGAAAGAGGCAGTTTGCACCGGAACGACGACTGGTCATAAAGGAAGAAATTAATAAACTGATCAGGGCTCAGTTCATCCGCGAGGTCAATTATCCTAACTGGCTCGCCAATGTCGTCCTGGTAAAAAAGGCTTGTGGTAAATGGAGAATCTGGATTGATTTTACAGACCTCAATAAAGCATGCCCAAAAGACAGCTACCTCTACCTCGAATCGACGATTTGGTGGATAGTACGTCGAGACACAAATTATACAGTTTTTTGGATGCATTCTCGGGTTACCATCAAATTCTTATGGCCGAGGAAGATCAAGAGAAGATGTCATTCATGGCTGATTCTGCCATATATTGCTATAAGGTCATGCCGTTTGGGTTGAAGAATGTAGGAGCAACATATCAAAGACTTGTCAATAAAGTTTTTACAGGAATAATCGGGAGAAATATTGAGGCCTACGTCGATGACATGGTTGTAAAGAGCAAGCAAGTGAGCAACCATGTAAGAGACCTCGAGGAGGTGTTCGCCACGCTACGTAAGTACAGAATGAAGCTGAATCCGGAAAAATGCGCATTTGGCATTGCCTCGGGAAAGTTCTTGGGTTTTATGATCACCCAAAGGGGAATCGAAGCCAACCCAGACAAAATATGGGTGTTGGCATCAATGGAGCCACCTAAAACCAAGAAGGAGGTCCAGAAATTAACAGGCCGTGTTGCTGCCCTCAACAGGTTTATGTCCCGAGCAGCCGACAAATGCTTCCCCTTCTTCAAAGTCCTCAGGGGAAACCAAAATTTTGAATGGGATGAGGAATGTGAAAGGGCCTTTCACGAACTTAAGGAAACGCTGGCATCCCCTCCTATCCTCACTAAACCCGAGCATGGTGATACTCTATATTTATACTTGGTCGTATCCCAGATTGCAGTAAGTGGTGTGCTAGTGAAAGAAGTTAACAAAGCCTAGCAACCCATATACTACGTCAGTAAGGTCTTGCTCGATGCAGAGACAAGATATACTTTGGCAGAACAGCTTGCTCTTGCATTGGTTGTGGCAGCACGGAAGCTCAGACAATATTTTCAGTCTCACCCCATAGTTGTGCTCACTAATCAACCCCTTAAGTATATATTACAAAAACCCGACGTTTCCGGTAGGTTACTAAAGTGGGCAATTGAACTGGGAGAATTTGACATCGAGTATAAATCCCGACCATCTATCAAGGCGCAGGACTTGGCTGATTTTATTGCAGAACTCACCCTAAGGCCTCAGGGGCCAGGGGATAACTCGGACAATCATACTTCAGACACTTGGAACAGCTTTGTTGAAGGAGCATCCAATTCATCAGGTTCCGGAGCCGGGGTTATCATCACGAGCCCTGACAAACTCGTGGATATTCAATGCGCACTCAAGTTTAAGTTTGAAGCTACCAACAACGAGGCCGAATATGAGGCCGTCATTATCGCCCTTTAGCTGGCCCGAAATCTTGAGCTTGAGCATATTAAAATTTTCAGCGATTCTCAGCTTGTGGTCGGCCAGATAGAAGGTACGTTCGAAAGGAAGGAGGAGAAGATGAGTTTGTATTGTCAAAAAGTCCATGATCTCCAGCGACAATTCAAGAGTTGCGAAATCATAAAAATTCCGCGAGCTGATAACGGTAAAGCTGATGCATTATCTAGACTGGTATTCATGGGAATCGATGGGCTAGAGAGGATAGTCCACGTGAAATTGGTAATGGAGCCTAGTATCACTCAGGGAGTTGGAGTCATGGACATTGATCATGAGCCATCATGGATGGACCCAATTGCAGAGTTCATAAATAATGGAAATCTACCTGAGGACCCCCGATTGTCGAGGAGTATAAGATCTCGAGCATCTAGGCACTGCATGATTGGAGGAGTACTATTCCGAAGAAGTTTCACACTTCCATATCTCAGATGCCTTAAACCCTCAGAATCATCCCGAGCTCTAGCTGAAGTTCATGAAGGTGTATGTGGGAATCACCAAGGAGCTCGGGCCTTGGCCTTCAAGCTTATAAGGTATGGGTACTACTGGCCCACCATGAAGAAAGATGCCTCGAAATATGTCAGAAAATGTGACAAATGCCAGATGTTTGCCAACATCTTCCATTCTCCAGCTGAGGACCTCACAACCCTAACATGTTCGGCCCCTTTTGAACAGTGGGGAATTGATATCCTCGGGCCTTTTCCGGTGGCAAGAGGACAATTAAAATTCGTGGCAGTGGCAGTAGAATACTTCACGAAGTGGGCAGAAGCAGAACCTTTGGCAACTATTTCGGAGCCTAAACTTAGAGCTTTTGTGTGGAAATCTATTGTTTGTAGGCTCGGGATACCAAAGGTCCTCATAACTGATAATGGACGACAATTTGATAATGCACAATTCAGAAGTTTTTGCACCAACCTAGGGATTGACCATCGACTCACATCAGTTTCACACCCTCAGAGCAATGGTCTAGCCGAGGTCACAAATCGGATTATATTGCAAGACCTCCGGACAAGACTCGGGGATGCCAAAGGTTCTTGGTCCGACGAGCTCCCCTCATTACTCTGGACGTACAGAACTTCGCATAAAACTACGACGGGTGAAACCCCCTTCATGCTAGCATTTGGCATTGAGGTCACCATCCCAGTTGAAATCAGTTTTCCCAGCTTGAGAATGATGCCCTACTCTCTGGAATGTACGACAGAACATTTGGACCTCCTTGAGGAGGTTCGCGAACAAGCAGCACTAAGAGTAGCCTCTTACCAAAGCAGAGTGGCAAGCCATTTTAATAACCGGGTCAGATCTCGGAAGTTCAGGGCTGGAGACCTCATGCTGAGGAAGGCCGAAGCTGCTGGTCATGCTCCCGGAAAGCTTGGGCCAATTTGGGAAGGACCATTCGAAGTCATACGGAAAATCAGAAGAGGGTCTTACAGCCTAAAGGATACCTCGGGTAGACCTCTTCCATGGCCTTGGAATGCCGATAATCTGAAAATATATTACAAGTAACATTCCTAAATGTCATCTAGGAGATTTTCTTTTTTTTTTTAGTTCTTCTGAATATTATTTTTGATTCTTCGGGCTTGCGTGCCCTTGCATTTTATTTCTAGTTTGGCGGGCCTGCGTGCTCATGTATGTTTTCAATTTTCTTTTGTAATGAATTACGTTCGTCTTGATCCCGTTTGGGTACGTAGGCAGCTTGGATACAATATAAATCCAAGTCCAGTCTGAAGAATTAAAAAATTCAAACCTCGAGTATAACAACCCTATCGTTTACTTTGCATCCAGGAATTACCTAAACCTTGTCCTCGACAAGCAATGTAAGCCTTGCCCTCGAGCAAGCACTCCTAAGCAATATAAGCCTTGCCCTCCAGCAAGCACTCCTAAACCTTGTCCTAGACAAGCAAAATAAGCCTTGCCCTCGAGCAAGCACTCCAAGCCTTGTCCTCGACAAGTAATATAAGCCTTGCCCTCGAGCAAGCACTCCTAAGCCTTGTCCTCGATAAGCAAAATAAACCTTGCCCTCGAGCAAGTACTCCAAGCCTTGTCCTCGATAAGCAAAATAAGCCTTGCCCTCGAGCAAGCACTCGAAGCCTTGTCCTCGACAAGTAAAAGCATTGCCTTTAGGCAAGGTAAATAATCCTCGATACAGTAAAAATTTGAAAAAACGAGGATTACATTAAGTTTCCTCAATACTCATCGTCGTTACCAAGATTAATTGCATGCCATCGTAGTCTATTTATATCGTCGCTATGAATGTTCGTAAAATCATGATCGTCGACAATAAAAGGCATAAACATCTAATATTTGAATCGTCGAGCATAAATCATCCGACATCATTTATGAGGTCGTCGATATTAAAAATTCGTAATATCCTCAATTGTTATCCATGATATTCGTCGAGCATATTATAATCGAGAAACAGCAGAGATCAGCTCAAGTAAAAGCTCAGGTAATATCGAACACGCAGATTGTATTAATAGTGCTCGATAAAAAGTGAATAATGTTTAAACATGTTCTTACAAAAAAAAAACAGCTGAATATAAGCTGGCGACAAAAAACATGTTTTACAAATGTTGCTCGAGTAAAGACAAATTACATCTAGACCCCGGGGCTCTCCTGATCATCCTCGAGGTCATCATCAACGTCGACCCCTTCATCGTCGAGGGTACCCTCTTCTAACTCTGAAAGCTCGAGGTCTCCAGCAATCTCCGGGATTACCTTCAGCTCCTCAGGCTTAGCGTCAGGCTTCGACCGAAGAAATGCTCGAGCCTCCTTAAGGCCATGGAAATATGACCCCATTGCATAATCGCCCTTCAGCTTGTTGAAGTCCTTGGACTTCTGGAATTCCACGACAGCTTCAGCTCGAGCTTCTGCCAACCTACCCTCAAGGGTTTTCTTCACCTTCTCAAGCTCCATCTTCAATTCTTCTCCCTCATCCTTCGCGAGGCCTATTTCATCACAAGCCTTTCGAAGCTCGGTCTTCGCCAGGTCACGCTCAACCTCGAGGTCAGTTACTCTCTTGTCTCGGGCTTCCACTGCCTCTTGGAGCTCGATTACCTTCCGGGAATCGTCCATTCCCCTGAGCAAGCCACCTCGAGCTATACTCAAAGCCTGCGAACACATTTACCATGAGCTATGACCTCGATATAAAAAGACATTAAAATTTTATAATCATAGTTCACCTGGAATATAAGAGACTCGAGGTCCTTGCCGGCCTCTTCATACCCGAGCCTTTGTCGGTATTTGTCGACAAGGCCCGACATCAAATATGATTGTCCTGCATTCTCGACGTTTTCAGTACCCGGGGGCACGTTATCCTAGTCGAGATCCACTACTGTGTGCTCCCAAGGAGGAGGAAGAGCTCGAGATGGTATCGATCGAGGAGTGTTGCCTCCAGGCGACGTGCTTCTGCGCCTCGAGGACTCTCCTACCCTGCTTCTTTTTTGTTGCTTTGGCCCAGACGCTCAAGGCCTCTTTTTCCCCCTTTTCTGCCCCGGAGTTCGAATTTGAGGGGCCCTCGACTTGGACTACACGGACTGTCGCAAAGCAGTGGGATCGAAAGTCATTGCTGCAAAACATCGACGATGTATTAAAAACGAGCATATAAATAAGCAAAAAATTAAGAAAAAAGGTACATGTCCTACCCTCGACGCCTTTAATGTCTACACGATCGAGAACGTCATTCCCGAGGATGTCGTCCATATCAAACACCAGAGGCTCGAGATTTTCTAATATCTGCCTGTCCCTCTCTAGACTCTCAAAGTATGCCTGACCTCACAAAACCTCGACGTATCTGGAAAACCCCATCGAGATTTGAATGGAAGGTCGATATCCTGAGGAATCACGTAGAACCATTTCTCTTTCCACCCTTTTAAGGAGCTGGGCATCTTCGGGATTCTAAAACCTCCCCGGGTAGAAAGGTAGGCAAAGCATGTATATTGGGGCAACTGTTTAAGGTCGAAGACCATTCTACATAGGTCGAGATATGGTGTAATGCCCAGGTATCTACAGGCAATGAAGAAATAGGCGAGCATCCTCCACCCATTTGGCACTAATTGGCCCGGGCTCATGTTATGCTCGACCAGTAAAGACATTAAAATGGATGCAGGGGCCACCTAAATCCCCCTTTCAAAGAATCCCTAAAAATCACAAACTCCCATCCCGAGCTATAGCCATCCTATCCCCTACCCCAGGCACTCGAATGTCACAGCTCGGCATTATGCCATGTTCCCTAGCCGTCGATATGGCCAGGTGCTCCTTAAGGGTTCAGGGTTGGTCAGGATATGTTAAAAGCGTCGAGTTATCTTCTGCTTGAGGTTGTGCATAAATAGGGATGGCTACAAGGATTATTGACCTACCTAAACTCTCTGGGGTTGTCCTCGACCCAGAGGATGACGACGAGGTAGACTCACTAGACATCCTACCAGAAGTGTTCTTAAATAATAAAGCTTAAAGTTCTCGATCTCTTACCTTAATATCAACGACCCAAAACCCACAAAATGCCCAAGCTCGAGGATTCTGAAAAAATTCACAGAGAAGTAAAAAGGTAACAAATGGAAAATGACTGGGGTATTTATAGACTCCAGTGGGAAACCCAAGGGTTGTCCGGCTTGGACCGTTGGATTTGGACACGTGTCACTCATTGGGGCAACCAAAGTTAAACCGCCTTTCACTTTATGGCTGATGTCATCTCTGAACTGGACCTCGGGTTTCTTCGCATGTGGGCTATTTTCACCTGTGCATCCCACACTCGAACCTCGAGCATAGATGCACGGGGGCCAGTGATATGGTCAATCTATTTACTTGATATGGTCCATCTATTTACCTCGACCTCATATTCCCGATGACTCCCCAACTCAGTCTTCAAAAATATATTCGTCGGGTATGATGAAAAACATCCCGAGGATATGGAAAATATCCTCGACTTCTCTCCTAATCATACCATGAGGTCGGGAAGTGGAGTCCTCAGTATTCATGTCCTCATGCTTTTTACCTCAACGATACCACATCCTCCTACGAACAGTGACTTGTAACACTTGATACCCCACAAGACTTCTAGATGCAAGAGGAGTTTATTATTGTTAGATTTGCACTGTCCCACACTTGTTATGCATGTCAAACATCCACCTCCGATAGGACTCTATGGGATAAAGATTCCCCAATTGTTCAAACCTAATAGGATTCAACCACCTAACACTATAAATACATGGTTTCACCTCATCATTCAGGTACTCTTTTTATGCAATTTTCAGTCCATAGCCTCACGCACATATTCTAACTTAAGTATCGGAGGGGCGACGAGGACACACCTCGACGCCTTTGTTTCAGGTACCGAAAGAATACGTTCGTGCTCGCCACCAGTCGACCAGCTCGGAATTGCTCAGATACGATTTTTGGTAGCATCAGTTGTATTTATATAACGTTGTTATAAATGTGAAAAAATTTAATTATAGTACAGAATCGAATCGAACTGAACCGAATGGAATCGAACCCGAACGGTTCCATAATTATATTTGGACCTTCATTTACTAAATACCCGAAATTTTTGGTTCGATTCGGTTCTCTTTAGAACCGAACCGAACCGACGAGAACCGAACCGAACCGAACCGACCCGCGCCCACCCCTACGCAAACACATAACTTTTCATTATTTTTTAACCACACGTTCTTCATCATACCAATATTTCAAAATACATTTTTCTAGAAAAATGGGGCTCCAACAATCCCTTTGGGGATATTTGATTGGTATTTTTATGTAAAAATACATTTTAGGATAGTAAATTGATGTGAAATATGTGGTTGAAAAATAAGAAATTTTTTTTTATTTACGTGTAATATGATTTAATAAAGGATGTATGGTTAAAAAGAATAGAGAGAAAAATATATTTAAAAAAAATGACTATCAAACAGGCTCTTAATGTATTATAAAAAATGAAAGAAATTTTTATATTTTCTATTACATTTTCTTAATCGGTGCGAAGATGAAAACAAGCAACATCCATCCCACGTCAATATTGTGGTGCGACTCGCAAAATTCCAAAATGCCATCTGTTTAATATTCGCAGCCGCCAGCTGTCCCACCACCGGAACCGGGCGCCCATCAACCTCAAACTGAACTTATCAAACCGACCGTACCTCTAAACTGTATCCAGCTTTCCAGGAGAATAATTACCATATTTCAAATCATGACCTGGTTGAGAAATTTCAACCAGTTGTCCGCCAATTTCTCAAGGCAACCATCAGTTAAACCAACATTTACGCCACCATCACTCACTCGATTATTGCAATTCAGCACTGAGTCTCAGTCTCCGGCGACTGTTGGTAATTCCGCCAATAAATATGCTGGGTTGGGGCCCACCAAGGGGGACGAAAAGCCGAGGGTGGTGGTTTTGGGTTCGGGATGGGCCGGGTGCAGGCTTATTAAGGACATCGACACCAAGATCTACGATGTCGTTTGTGTATCCCCAAGAAATCACATGGTGTTTACTCCTCTATTAGCTTCCACTTGCGTTGGCACTCTCGAGTTCCGGTCTGTTGCCGAACCCATTGGGAGGATCCAGCCTGCAATTTCTCGTGAGCCTGGTTCTTATTTCTTTCTTTCTAACTGTACCCGGGCAGATTTTCAGAACCAAGAGGTACTAAAATCTCTCTCTCTCTCTTCACCTTTTTTATGGAGCAATACGAGAATATGCCCACGGTTATGGGACTAGTGTAAACCTTTTTCTTGATGCATGACATAAAGTGAAACTACCTTCTTCCAATGGTTAGCATAGGTTAAAAGGATGGGTGATTCCATAAAACTGAAATTTGAATTAGTATTATTGTACTATATGAGATACACCACTTTAGGAATGCCTCGCATTATTTTTATGCTTAAAAAAGAAGACCTTGAAAAGGTATTACGATTCGTACCATGCAAAAAATTGCTAGTAACGACACATCAACAGATCCCGTTCAACTCTACTTACAAGAAAATATTAGAATGCCAGGTCGCTGGAAGGGGGAGGCCGACCCGAAGCATTCCAATGCCCAAGTCAGTTTTTGCAGTAGAAATATGGAATTGAAATAGTTTTTGACTAATAAGTAATTTTTTTTTTTTTTTTTTTTTTTTTTTTTTTTTTTTTTTTTTTTTTTTTTTTTTTTTTTTTTTTTTTTTTTTTTTTTTTTTTTTTTTTTTTTTTTTTTTTTTTTTTTTACTTGATTGCTTGCTTTGCATTGTTTATTAGGTTCAAATATATAGAAAAATGGGTCGACTGAACTCTCTTGTGGATGAGTTTGCTTGATGGACAAGTTTACTCGGACGGAAAATTTGCTCGGTGAGCAAGAAAAGGTTTGCTTGGTGGGCAAGAAAGAGGTTTCTTGGGTTGCAAGTTTTTTAGGTCGACAAGAAAGTCAAACTGAAAATTATATTGGGCATTTGTCCCGTGTGTTTGCCCCGAGGCAATGGATACAACAATTGGGTTGTAGGGAAAGTGATGAAGTAAGATGACAAAAAGCTAGAGAGGGAGAGGGATAAATCTACTTTCTAAAATGAAATCAAAACTTGTATCTGTAATCATGAAGCAATGGATAGTGAAATTTTGTCTGCTTGAGATATGGATTCACCCATTGTTCATCATTTATGTAAATTTCATCTATTTTAAAATACGATGAAGTTGTAGAACATACATATTTAATGAACTAGATCAATTACAAGTTCACTCCATCCACTTGTGTTTGGAAACCAGTTAATCATCCCTCTCAGTTCTTCTCTTTTTCCTTTAAGTAGAAGGACAATAAAGATATTATTGGTTTTCCTGCTCCTCATCTGTGCTCATCTAACCAACTTAGTTGCCCCCAAGATCTTTAGCTGCAAAATGTGATAAAACCTGGGGAACTTATTTTCAAAACAACCCTTTATCGGGTTTAAATAAGTGAAAGAAAGAGCCTACATATAAAGTTGCTAATTTAAAAATCATTATATTGCATTAGAATTCATTTTTAGTCTTCAAAGAGGTCTTCGTCCCCCTTTCTTTGTTTCTACAGGGACTCTGTGATACTTAGGATGTCTTGAGTAGCTACTTGGGATATTAAGAGTTTCTAGGAAGGTACTGAATAATAGCTACTTGGACTGGGAGCTATGTGGCACTTTTGGAACCGCTTGAAGGTTTCGAGTAAATGCAAATGGTGGACATGTGAGGGAAAGGAAGTAGCCTGGAGAAAATAGAGTAGCATGGGGGGATATGTGGAAGGAGTTTGCGGTAGCAAGAGGCTGGTAAGAAAAATAGTTTGTTGTGGGGTGGGGTGGAAGAAGGGGGTGAAGTTATATTGGAATTTCGACAGAAAGAGAGGTACCTTTTACATAATTTGAGAAAGGAGCCTTAATTTCGTTTTTCTCTCCAACTAAACTTTAAAAATGGGATGGTATGCTAACTAGGTTTTCACAAACCACATAATGTAATAAATTGTTACAAATCACAAGCAATTTGTGAGTAACTTCAAAGATTGACAAGTGGATTATCTAAAAGGCTTAAAGTGCAGGAATGTTATGAAAATAGGACTTGATTTTTCAAAATTCTTAAAATTAACCTTATTGCACTTAAAATCTTAAAAATACTGGTATCATATCTTCTTCACACTGCTACTGCAGCCACTCCAACCCCTTCACCATCATACTATCCACCTGCATTTGGTCAGACAGTTGTTAATTTGACTGGTTGGGGTCCATTTAATTATTTTAAAAAAGACGAAGGCCTGGAAAGATAATGAAGACATATTAGATAAAAACATCGTCTTTTAAACTAAACTAAGAAGGCCATTTAAAAAAAAAAAAATCAATTATTTCTTATATAGTAGAAAGGGAGCATACGTGCAATGTGACCTTTCATTGTTTTATATCTCATGTTCAGAAATCTGTTTCTTTGGAATTATTATATTCCAAGCCAAAGACCATGGACACCATCAAACTATAATCCAAATGCACATAATAAATTTTGTAATATTTGTATTTATTAGTGTTAATCTTTTCCCAAATGGGGATTATATTCCTAACTCTAATTGACATGTTCATTTGGTTGAAATGCATTCACTCATAATGCTAGGAAAATAGGAGTAAAATATTTTTATGAACAAAATTTCCTTAATGTAAAATCTCTAAACTTGTAGCCTAGTTTCAAAAATGAAATCTTACAGTATACACTCAAGTTGATATGCTCATAAGAAACACATTCTATAAGAACGTGACTTATTCCTGTAAGTTCCATTTCAATAAGCTAATTTCATGAACGTGTCTAACCACCCTGAAAATATTTTCCTAGAACTGTATTTTTTAAATAAGACATAGAAATAAGACCATTTTTGCAACATCAAAATTATTAATCTTTGTTCCAGGGGTGGTTGAAGGTTAGCACCTCGATAATGGATCTGGAAAATCCAACTTATTTGGGTTGTAATACATTGATTGCAACCTATTTTTTGGCAAAAGTCATCATCCTAAGCTTTCAAGTTTGTGAACCTTAGTCCAAGTAGATGGTTTCCGTCCACTTTACTGCTATAAAGAGGCGTGGCTTGCATACATCTCACTTTTGAAGGCTAAAATAGGAAAACTCTTACTTCTTGTCAAAATTTATAAATAGACAAGTAAAAAGAATAAGGAAAAAGAATGTAAACATCATTCTTGCCAACCTCTCCACCATCGCCACCTATTCGACCCCAACCTCGGCCAGTCCTCAATGCCCCCACCACTATCCCATTCCCCCATCTATTTCTGCCCAACTCCTCTGGTTTGGTTATTACTTCCTCTCTCTCCCTCTATGTTACATCATGAATAGGTTGGGAAGCTCTGCTATTGTATTCCGTTATGAAAATTTATAGCACAATAGATTATGTATTTAGTTGTAGCAAACTCTTGCGTTCACAGTCATATCATTAGCACAACTCTTGTGTTTGAAAGAAATGGATATCATCATATGTCATGTCAATTGAATTCAGTAGTATGAGCTCACCCTGCTAATTTTAGTCTGATATTTCCTTATTGAGATTTTTTTTTTTTTTTTTTTGCATTAAATATTGCATTAATTATGAAATATCAACACATGATGTTAGGTTCATTGTCAAACTGTGATTGATGGGGTGGATACCTTAAATCCTTGGGGCTTCAAAATCTCATATGATAAGTTAGTAATTGCTGCTGGAGCAGAAGCTTCTACATTTGGAATTAAGGGTGCAAAAGAACATGCAATTTTTCTCCGTGAAGTTCATCATGCTCAAGAAATCAGGAGGAAACTACTACTAAACCTTATGTTGTCTGATGTGCCCGGTATGGAAATCATTAATTTTTCAATTTTGAATTGATCCATAGGCAACGAAATATGTTGGGTAATTCTCTGTTGAGCATTGGATTGTGACAGGAGTTACTGACGAAGAAAAGCGTAGGCTCCTGCACTGTGTTGTTGTTGGAGGTGGTCCTACTGGGGTCGAGTTCAGTGGAGAACTTAGTGACTTTATTATGAAGGATGTTCGTCAAAGATATGCACATGTGAAAGATTATATTCGTGTTACTTTGGTTGAGGTTAGTATAAAAATTTGTCCACCTTTGCTGCATCAACATCTCTGCTGTTACCTTTGCTCTCTCCTATATCTGAGATAAAGTTGCTCTCTTCTGCAAACCTGCAGTACAAACTCATTTATGTCAGAATTGTATTTGCTAACCTGCAACATTTTCCTATCTTGCAGGCCAATGAGATATTATCGTCATTTGATGATCGCCTAAGAACATATGCAATTAAACAATTAACCAAGGTGAGCAATTTATTGTCAACGTAGACACTTGACTCTGACGCTTAAATAATTGGTTATTTCCCCTTGTAACACTTTTTTACTTTCTCTATTGCGTATTCGCATCATACTTTGATGTGATGTATTTCAACAAGAGAAAAATATTCAGCATTTATCCGTCCGAAATGTGGTCTTGGATTTTTTTAGTCGTAGGTGTTATTGATGTCGTTAGTCTTGGTTTGTTTATGGACTTTTTTGAGATTTTTCGCAGTTGTGTATTCAGCCTACAAGTTTTACCTCATTTTTCTACTGATAGACCACAGGTAATTATCTAATGATGAGAACAGCAGCTGCCTTTTAAGGAGAGCTATATAATAGCTTAAAAATTATTCCTGATCTAATACATGGTTGTGCCTTGAAAACCCGGTATCCACTATTTGTGGTTTGCATCATGTGTTCTAATGCAAGTTTTCTACCTTCTCCTTTCCTGATTTGCTTGCAAAAACGCCAAGTCTTGGGTTGGTTTGTGTTCTGAGAAAAATGGGAGGTGCATTATTCTATTATCTTAAACTTCAACCTCAAATCTCTTAACTATGTTAAGTTGCTTTTTAATGTATTTTTTGGGACTATTCAGTATCGATATATATATCTCTCAGTCAGGAGTTCATCTTGTCCGTGGAATTGTGAAGGATGTCCAACCTCGAAAGATTATTCTTAGTGATGGCACAGATATTCCATATGGTCTCTTAGTGTGGTCTACAGGGGTTGGCCCCTCACCATTTGTCAAATCTCTCGATATTCCCAAAGCACCTGGTGGAAGGTATAAATACCTCTGCTGCTAAACAATACATTCACTTTGCTATTTATATTCCAGTAAATTGTTCAGAACCAACTCTTGACTTCTCAATAACTTTCAAAAGGAAAGTCTTGGAAACTTTTTCCTTTTATAAATTTTTGGGTGCACCTACCCCCTTGGTGTTGTAAATCTGTGTGTCAGCTAAGCAAGTATTTGAAGAAGTTCAGAGTGCAACCAGTAGCATTGGACGATTGAGTGATTGTGTGTGAATTACTTGTGATGCTGCAGATCATTTTCCACGTTTTTTCACTGCACTTGCTTCGTAATCAACCTATATATTTTCCTTTACTCCAACATGATGTTAGTGTAGAGCTTGGCTACTTGTTTGCTCCATGTAGAAACCAAAAAAAAAAAAAAAATGGGGGATTGACCAATCACAATCACAGGGTTATAGTTCAATATCTATGTGATCGACTGATTCTTGTGGTGACTTCATGTCATTACAAGGCGGTTCATTTTTTTTATTAGATAATTACTTCATATTTTCTTGATTTTCTAAAATGGTCCGGGTAATTTAATTTTACTTAATCCATTTCAATGTGCTCGTAATTTTAGTTGCCTTAACTGAAAGGTGACTATGTGATATGTTACCGCAGGATTGGAATTAATGAATGGTTACAAGTCCCTTCTGTACAAGATGTGTTTGCAATTGGTGACTGCAGTGGGTTTCTTGAAAGTACAGGCAAGCCTGTTCTTCCAGCTCTTGCCCAGGCAAGTTATTGAGAACCTTGAATGTTCTCTTGTTAAGTTATTGGACTTCTGCATAGTCTCTAATTCATTTTATGTCAATTCGTCATCGGTTGTCTTGCTGATTAATGGCTTTCAGCTTGATCTGTACGTTATTATTATGGAGAAATGATCACAAAATTCTTCTTTCGGACAGTGATAATTAAATTTTCTTTGAATTTTTCGAGCTAATTTCATTATCACATCCTATTATATTATCAACATCAATCAAATATCAAGTTGGTACAAAATGACATCAGGATCAGATTAAATAAATAAATGTCAACCTTTATTTCCCGCCCCCCCTAAATCACAAAATGGCACATCTTGGGTCAAGAAATTACAAGTGCATTATTCAGATACGTGTTCTGTTTCTTGTGTTCTTAATATTCTTCTGTATCCCTAAATCAAAAGGTTTCTATCAGGTTGCAGAGCGGCAGGGGAAATATCTGGCGAAATTGTTGAACCGTATAGGAAAAGCAGGTGGAGGGCATGCAAATGCTGCAAAAGAAATGGACTTTGGGGCTCCATTTGTCTATAGGCACTTGGGAAGCATGGCAACCGTTGGGAGATACAAGGCCCTTGTGGATCTTAGGAAGAGCAAGGTAATTTCTGTTGTATATTTTCTTCAGCTATTAAAACCAGTTAGAAGTGACTTATTTAGTAATCTAGTAATCTTCTGTAACAGGAGGAAAAGGGTCTATCACTAGCAGGATTTACTAGTTGGTTTATTTGGCGCTCAGCTTATCTTACTCGGGTCATAAGCTGGAGGAACAGATTCTATGTGGCTATCAACTGGTTGACAACTTTTGTTTTCGGTCGTGATATAAGCCGGATATAGACAAGATTGAAAGGGTGACTTTTATGTTAAGAAAACATATATCAGTTTCGTCAATGTGCGCATGCAGACATTACTAACCTATTTTCCAGTAGTTATTTGACCTTTCTAAACTAGCGTCTTTCTTGCAGGTGTTGGTGATGTGTTACTTGATGGATGAGAACTTTCGACAGGATTTCACCATGGTAACTGATGCAGCGTTGTCTTTTAATTTCAAGCAATGTCAATGATTGATATTTTACCATATAGAATTGCACACGCACCCCATTCTCCAATAGTTTTTACAGGTATCATTTCCACGGTGAAATTTGGAATAATAGATGTTTGATATTTGTGTTGGATGTTCTAGATGATAAATGATTTTACGTTACTTTGAGGAATAACATTTTCTGAATGTATAAAACTATAGTACTTCAATAAAGGGAATATCTTCTACTTCGGCATTTCTGTATCAAAATTTGGCATCTTGTTAAGCCTTTGGTTTTTCATTAGCAAGCAGTTTAGAGAGACAGAGAGATGTACAAATGACGTCGATGTAGTAAACTTAGTTTTATTGAAAGTGTGTTAGGGGAGGCAACTCCAGGAGAAATGGATGGCTTTTCGTTGGGACCCGAGTATCCCTGCAGAAAGGCTATCAGTGCCAAATATGCAACGACATCGTGGAAGTTCAAAGGAATTTTCTAAATATTGTGTAATTCGAGTCGGTGATTCAACAATGAGAATCTCCAGGATGGTGTATGGTGTGGAATGGGACGAGAACTATTAACACGAACTTGTTAGTAGGGCTGTAAATGGATCGGATATGGAACGGATCTGTCAAAATCCAATCCGATCCGTTAAGAAAAATTATTCTATCCGATCCGATCCGATCCAATAATCCAACGAATATTTGATTGTTAAATCCATATCCTATTTGCTATGTTATCGGATATCCAATCCGATAATTCGATCTGAATTTGAAAAAAAATATTTTTTCACCATTTTTTTGAGTAATATGATTTTTTTCCCAAAAAATATTTTAACTATCTTGATGGGCTCACTTATTATACTAGAAGGCCAAAATTAATTTTTTATCCAAGTGATACTCATTTAGTTTCTTTTTAAAGGAGACTTCTCTTGAAATGTTTTAGTAGTATTTCAATGTGGGATGCTAACTTTTTAAAGGATACTCATCTTTCAATATTTTAGTGATCTTTCAATGTGGGATATTAGTCAATTGTCAATTCTAAATGTTTTTAGTTTATTTTATTATTTTCATTAAAAATCATAACCCCATCAAGATTATAATCACAAATAATATCAATTTAAACAATGTAAATTATTTTTGGACATATTAATTATTGGTTTTTGATATTATAAAACAAATTACTAAAAATATTTTTATTTTATTTTAATTAATAAAAAAATTAAATCTCTTCAAATATTTCAATTAACAATATTATATTATTATCTAATATTATTTATTATTTGAAAATTATGTGTAAAGAATAATATAAGTTTCAAAATAGAAAAAATTATGTTTACTAGATTATGATATAATATATAAAATATATTATATTATTATAATAAATTAGATCGGATTGATTTATATTCATATTTACTCCATTTAGTTAACGGATTATCGGATTCGGATCTTAATCAGATTATCAGACTGAGACCCTAAATTCATCTCCCATTAATTTCATCAGATTCGGATCAAAATTGAATCTATTGACAGCCCTACTTATTAGATGGTAAAGACATTTTTAGTAGATGTCATGTCAAAAGGAATGACCTATACAGGTAAATACATGTCACTATGAAACATTATTTTTTGAATACATATTATTAGTGGTCGTCCTACGTGATATACATGTATTGCTTTGTTATTTGATGTACAAAGCAATACATGTATGTCGTGTAAGGCGACTATTAGTAGTTTTCTTTATGATTTTTGGACATTGCTATGTGTATAGGGAACTTACAAGGCACTTGGCATTTTCACATTGAAAGTCTAGCAAAAAATAATAATAATAATGGATAAATGCAATTACAGTACCTCTACACACTGTACATGGTACACAATTCTCTTGTAGGAGGAGAATGATCAATAATTTTTTCAATAAAAAGTAATAAGGTAACACAATTTGTTACCTGCGTAAAATATTGACTTTTTGATTTACACTAGGAAGTTGTAACTTCTTGTTCACATTATGCGGCCGTAATTTGATATTCATAGCATTCACAATAAATTTTTAGAGTAACATGATGACAGACTGATTAGCTATGCAAGACATTGACTTTAACTGCCTGTCTCGCACCGATTTGAGAAAGATTTTCATTAGAATCTTTACCATTGTGAAATTGCAAATCCTAGCGTGAGAAAGGTATTAAAAAAAATGAAAAAAGAAGGAAAAAAAAAAAAAAAAGGTTGGGTGCAAGAGCAACGATTATAGAAATGATTACAATCTGGTTTAAAATTCCTCCCATTACACAGTGCAAAAATGTTACACACTCCGTTCTATTTATATAGACTGATTTTGTTTTTCACATGAATTAAGAAATCTTATTTAACGTTATAGAAAAAGTAATTTTTCCTAAAAACTTTTCTAGTTGTACAATTTTAAGATTAAGTTGGGAAAATTAATCATAACTTTTCAATTAAATAATGGAATATTAATAAACGAACAAAACTAAATATTAAAAAAATAAGACTATATAAAAAAATAAAGAATGTCAGCCTATATGAATGGGACGGGGAAGTAATTGAAACGGTTATAAAATATTTACATCAATGAAATATAAGGAATATTTTAAAATTTGGAAAAATGATATTTTTAACTTCTGATTTATATACAATCGTAGGGTTGTCAATTTTGTCAAAAAGATATAGGCCGTGTTAGCTAGTCCACGTGGATTGTGGCCTTGCATATTCGGCTTAAAGCATGCTAGTCAAATTTTTTCAATTGAAAACTCTCTGTCAGAGGATTTTCAAGTGTGTCATCTAAAATCTATCAAAACTCGAAATCTCACTAAGAATTTGTTTGAAAGAGATTTTTTTTAAAAATTATTTTCTCAAATATCATTTATGATCATTCTATAAGATCTATAACGTTCTTTACTTTTTAATCATACATTCTAAAAAAAAAAAAGAAAAAAAAAATAATAGGCTCTAAAATTTCATAATAATCAATAGATGTAGCCTCGAATCTCTTGGATCTCTTTTGTGTTTTAATATTGGTTTGTAGGCTTTGATGCCCGTCTTTATTGTTATAGGCCCCATCCCATGGGATGTCTACGTCCAGTCTCCCTTTCTAAAGCGCAAGCTTTATTTGCTTTTTTTCAAATTTCAAGACAACTCCACGTTAGCATGTTTTTTTTTTTTTTTTCAAATAAAAAAAATAATGCTATTCAGTATTGGTGACGTCAGGTATCAATTTAAGTGATTACTACATGACATTAAATAATAAATTTACTTAAATGCATTACACACGAATTATTTATTTAATTAAATCTATCAAATGTGACCACCAAAATTGATGCTGTTGACCATTGATTCTGGACAGCGTTATCCTTTCAAAAAACAAGAGAGTTTGTAATTATTACTTAGCTTATGAGCCTCATTTTGTGTTGAAAATAAGTTTTGTAATCGTGAATTTTTTAAAGAATGTGATTAAAAAGTAAGATTTTTTTTTTAATTTACATACAAATTATTTTATTATGAAAACGTTTGGTTGAAAATGAATTTAAAAATGAAAATTAAATTTTTAGATAATAGGGATCAAAATTCAAAACATGCATTATTCCTAGAATTTTAACTTGTAAAAGCATCTGAAGAGACTCTTTAATATTTTTAACTTAACGATAACAGAGAATTATCTTCAAATTTAAAGAATATATTCTTTTGGCTATTCATTTCTCTTTTCTCAATAATCATTTATTAATTTATCCTCAAGTTTATTAAGCATATTTTTAATATATCAATGGCCATCAATTCAGATGGGATTTGAATAATTTAAGAAATAGAATATTCAAATCTGTAACTTTTTAAATGCAATTATGATAAATTATAGAGAATCAATGTAAAGCCCCAAAAAATTCATAGAATAGAATTTAATTCTAGATGCTATATTTTATATTTCAGGAATTTTGGAAGACTAAAGTGAAAAATATATTAATTCAATTTTATTTAGGTCAAATATTTAATTATTGATAGAGTGATAATTAGTATACTAGTAATGGGCTCGTTTTGTAGTTAATATTAAATGACGTCATCGACTCTAGAAAAAATTGATTCGAAGAAAGTAGACCCAAGATATTAAAATTTAAAGAAGTTGTCATTAACTAGCATTTGATTTTAAATTGATTATGGATTTTAAAGGGTTGGCGGCCACGTGGATCTTTAGATAGACATCAAGTATCTTTTCTTTTTCCTTTGATTATGATAAGGTTATGATGCTGTTGAATTAGATGACCCACTTTTAATAGAATTACCAAATATATGTATAACACAGTGAAGTCAGGAAAATTTCACCACAAAAATATTATATAAAAATGGCAGAGAACAAAATTTCGACAACGCGTATTTTCAAAGTAGAATTCACATCCATTAATCATTATTTTCAGCTTACACATACGAGTGATATGAGAAAAAGATTTTGAATTTCATTTCAAAAACTGGTTGATCTAACAAGGTAATATAATGAGGTACAATTATTTTTATCCCGTTTGAATTATTTTTTCGTGTTTTCAAATTCTTATACTTATGAAAGTTAAAGATATGATATGATATGTCTGATATGATCGTCCAATACTAAAGATATGATATGCATTGAGTTCTCATCATGGCGTTATGATATTTTTTATGTGATTTAAATATTTTTATTCGGGATTGCACCATTATTTTCTCATACACTCACTCATTTCCCCTACTTCTCAAAA